GGGAGTTCGTCAGCATATCTCTCTAGGAATTTGTCTTCAAGGACAAGGGAGCAGAGCAGAGCTGGAAGCTCTTTAAAGAAGCTTTGCTTAGGACACAACAGCTATCCATCCCCTGGCGTAGGAAGCCAGGAAAGGAAGGCAAGAGATCAACATGTCTGAACTGGGACCTGCTGGTCAAACTGGAAGAAAACACAACAAGGAAATAAACAAGAAGAAAATACTCAGGCACCGGAAGCAGGGCCAGGCAACCTACAAGGAGTATAGGGACGCTGCTAGGCTGTGTAGGAATGCGGTCAGGAAGGCCGTGGCCCAACTGGAACTGGACTGGGCAAGTGATGCAAAGAAGAATAAGAAAGGCTTATATATCAACCAGAGGCTATATATCAACCAGAAAAGGAAAGTCCAGGAGGGTGAAACTCCCTTGTGAGAAACACAGGCATGTTGGCAACAATGGAGAAGAAGGGTGAGGTATTCAACAGCTTTTTGCCTCAGTCTTCACTCCTATACAATGTGACTCCTATACAGTGTATTCCTAGCTGATCCCCAAAGACAAAGCCTGTATCTTTATAGTCACAATTACCGTTTGAAAGAAAGAAAGTGACCAAAAGAACCACAGGGAATATGACTTTTTTTTTTTAAATAGGAATCACCCAGCTCAGAGAGTTGCATAAAAACAATTAAATAAAAAGGAACAAACTTCAAAATGTATAAGAAGAATGACTCAACTTAGAAAAGCACAGACAGAAGAAAGTAATGAAAGCATCTCTTCCTGTTGGGACACTAAGGTACCTGAATAGTCTTCTCTGTGCATTTCCCAGTTTAAAGAGAGGTAGACATGGGGGAAGAAATCTGGTTTTGATATTTTGTACCCTGGGCTACAAAGGAATTATTGTAAATATATTAATAAAAGGTAGCTGAGCTGAGGTTTCAGATCACCTGCACCCATCAGAAAGGCAACCAGACTCCAAGTACTGTGCTCTTGTTTGATACATGGACTAACACTCTGTCAATACTTTAATGGCTAAAAGAGACAGAAACAAGCTGTATTTTATTAAATGGCTTAAATCACCTGTATCACCATAGAAACAGCAAAGAAGATGGCAGAGTTTGGAGGGAGAAATCTTTAGTCAGAATATCTGTAAAGATGTGAGAAAGAGAAGGAAGAGCTCCTGCCTGGAAAGCACAAGCCTGTCTCAAAGCCTACAAGCCTATCTCAGTGGAGGAAGTGAGTGAATAACTGTGGCACATGCATGAATGGCCTGAGAGCTAATTGGCTCTACTGACGCTCCTCTGATTAGCTCCTTTTGGCTATAGCACTTGTCAGACCCATGCTGAGTTCACAGCAAAGAAATATTCATGCTGTACTGAAGTCGGTCTCAGATCAGATGGTGGATCCCTGCAGAGAAAGCAAACACAGATCTGAAGGATGTGGCCTCCAGGGAGGGCTGCTAAATCCTTACTTTGTGTCACTGATTCTATGTTATCAAGAGCTGGAAGAGAGAGGGCTGTTGGAAAGGATTCAGGTGCTCGTGCCTCTTTTTACTACCTCAGAAATGAAGGGAGACAGAAAACAATTGAGGGTGTAGAGAAAATCGACTTTGGTAGAGAAAAACTTGAGAGCAAAATGTCATTAATCATTGTGATCCAAGTGCAGATGGCTGTAATTATTTACTAAAATACTGATCTGAACGTGGTTTATGAACTCCAGGAAAACAGCCCAAGGGAGCAGCTTGTTTGGATGGAAGGCAGAGTTACACTCTGATGAGCTTCTGACAGGAAGAGGTCCCAGCAGGGGACATCTCACAGGGGGCATGAGAGGAGCCTTCCCAAACCTTTACAACTGTACCAGATACAGCAAGCATAAATGTAAGGCAGCAAGAAAACCAGGCACTTTAAGGTCAGAGGTATTTTAATTCTGTGTACTGTATCTGTTCAAGAACTGGGGCCAAGTTCATTTCAGCTCATTCAGCTCTGAATCAGCCCTATGGACTCCTTCTGTGTCCTCACAGTGCTGACACTACCACCTCTGCAGGATCACAGAGAAATTCCAAAGAACACTAATTACTTGCTTCCACACTCTGGTAATCACCGCCAAAAGGAGAACTGGAGAGCATCAAACAGAGCCAGTGTGTGCTGGCAATTGCTATTGTGTGTTCTGAGACGGCTCACTGATTCCAGGACTCTGGTCACATGTGAGCAGTTTAATTCAGACAATTAACAGTGGCATTAATTAAAGATACTTCCACATTCTGGCTCTGAGCTGCCTGCGTTCCTTTCTCCCTGTCCTCTTCCCAGCTGTTACATGGTGGCTAACAAAAACGTGAGCAATGGCTGAATGTGCTCAGCTGAGATTGAATATTTCCAAGTGCTTTGGGGACAGTTGGCCATTACTCACTTGCAACACACGGTAAACAGAGATGGAGCTTAAATCTGGCTCTCTTCTTCCCAGAAGATATCAATCTCTTATGTATACACAGAAGAAATAGCGCTTGTGTCTCATGTGTCTGTAAGAATTTGGTCTCTGGGACAAAATAACCTATGGCTACAAATATTGCATCAGCTTCTTGGGGTTCTGCAGAAGCTGGGAGTGATGACACACCTGTGTGTTGCTGCCTGCACCAAACATGGGATTCAAGCCGATGAAGCCATCAAGCTCCAATGCCAAATGTGCTACATGGAGAGACTAAACATCTCTGCCATCACTTGCAGCACTTCCATCCTTCTGTGATCCCCATGTCTTCACTCATGTCTCAAAGCATCCTTTCTCAAAAGAAGCCCAGCTATGAGGTCAGTGCCAAGGCCTCTGTGTGCACTGTACTGCACAAAATGCCTTGAGAACTGCCCCAGACTTGTGACTACTTGAAAGAAGTGAGGTGGAGTTGGCCTCTTCTCCCAGGTAACAGCAATAGGACAAGAGATAACAGCCTTAAGTTGCATCAGGGGAGGTTCAGGTTGAATATTAGGAAAAAATTATTCTCAGAAGAGTGGTGAGGCATTGGCACAGGCTGCCCAGGGAGGTGGTGGAGTGACTGTGCCTGGAGGTGTTCAAGAAAAGGGGGATGTGGCACTGGGGGATGTGGTTAGTGGGCATGGTGGCGGGGATGGGTTGATGATTGGACCCCATGATCCTATTGGCCCTTTCCAACCTTAATGATTCCATGATTCCAAGTCAGCAACAGCCTCAATTCTTTATTTTCCTCCTTTGTTTTTATTTCCATATCTAAAATGTACTGAATGAAGTCATGAAATCTCCTCTCCCACAATTTATTCCTTTCAGTTTCCAAAGCAGAAAGTTTTTCCTGTTGGTCAACACTAAAAAAAAAAAAAAAAACCCCCCCAAAAAAACCACGTTAAACTTGTTGATCTATTTGGGATTTCCTGAGGATGTTTTCTTCAAAGAAGTCTTTTCAGATTGCCTGTTCAGATTTTTCCGAATGTTATGAAACGATTTGTTGATTTCCAAGAAACAGATTGTGAAAAATGCTATAAAAGCTACATCTATCATTCGGGAGGTTTTTTTTAAAAAAAAAAAAAAAAATCTGCTTCTGTTTTAGCAGCTTTGCTGCTCTTGCATAAAACTCTGTTTTAAATTCATCATGGGACCATGCCATCGTGAAATAGGAATATCACCTTTATTAAACTCCCCTGGCTATTTTCTGCAAACAGCTGAACCTGATGAGGTTGTTCCCAAGGGAGACACTTGTCACTGAAAATGTCTGACTGTCATGAACTTGGCTTAGTGTTGTTTAACTCGTGATTCATTATTTCACACATTGCTTTCAATGCTGTCCGTGCATGGGGACCCCCACACTGGGCACAACACCGAGGAACAAAAAGGCATCTTCTGCTCCTAAAGGCTTCCAATCCTTCTGCAGAGCAGAAGCAGATGGAGACAGACAGACAGAAGAGAGGATTAAAGGAATCAACCAGGACTTACAGTCAAACTTTCAGCAGTCATCAGCGTTAGGGAGAGATTTAACCAGGACCACATCTGCATGACTCATATTCAAACAGAAAGTTTTTTCAGCATCTCAAGCTCTTTCTTGGCCACGTTATTACCAGTGAGATCTAATGTGGGAAAAGGACAAAACCGAACTAGAAGGAGTTATTTCGGGCTGCAGATGGTGCAGGGACCCTGGGGATGGTCGGGAGCTCCAGAGCAATGCGTGTGCCAGGAGAAGGGTCGGGCTCGGAGCCATCTGCCCCAAAGCTGGAGAAGCCCCAGGGTGTCGCAGTTCTGTGGAGAAGAGGTGGGAAATGACCACTCAGAGACCCAGGTTTTGATTTTTACCTTTCTCACCAGCTTCATCTTGAAAAAGAGTTGCAGGCTTCTAAGAAAGGAAATCGCAAGTGGGATCTGGCACCTCCCTCTCAGTCCCTGCCTTCCCTACTAGACCTCTCTCCACCTCCCCGAGCCCCGGGTACCGCCAGCGGGGTCAGGGGATGCCCAGCGGCAGCTTTACCCCCCCGGGGCTGTGCTTTGCCCTTTGCATCTCCGCCCTTCTACATCTCTCTTCTTTGCACGTCCGTCCCGTCCACCTCTTCCCTCCGCATCCCTCCTCTTCTCAACCCTCCCCTTTGCATCCCTCCCTTTTCACCTCCCCCTTTGCACCTCTCCCATTTCCCTCCCTCCCCTTCGCATCTCTGCCCCTTCCCATGTCTCTCCCTTTTCCCAGCCCTCCCCTTTGCATCTCAGCTGCTCTCATCTCAACCCCTTCGCACCCTCACCCCTTTGCGTCTTCACTCCTTCACTCCCCAAACCCTCAAAGTCTCACTATTATTATCTTAATTTACTGGGGCACCTTTGACTTTCCCACCTTTTGCTTCGACCCCATCCCTTCTCCCTCTACAACTCCCTCACCTATAACATCTCCGGGCTGTCCCTCACCCTTCTCCCTCATTCCCATCCCCACTCCCCAGTCCCGGTGCCGGTCCCGGAGCAGAGCCGGGCTCGCCCCCCCCCCCCCCCCCCCCCCCCCCCCGGCTCGGAGCCTCCCGCGATGCCGCCGCCCGCGGGGCCGCTGCTGCTGTTGGGGCTGGCGCTGGGGCTGGGGGCCGCGGCGGGCGCCGGGGGGGGCTGCCAGCTGCCGGCCGAGTGGCGACCGCTGAGCGAGGGCTGCCGAGCTGAGCTGGCTTCCATCATCGTTTACGCGCGGGTGTTGGCTCTTCACCCCGATCCCTACGGGGCTTACAATTATCTGCCCTGGCAACGGGACCCCCCCTCCGGTGCCAGCTCGCAGCACAACCCGGGAGGACTCTTTTATTCGGCCGAGATCGAGCTGCTGTGCGACCAAGCGTGGGGCAGCATGCTGGAAGTGCCCGCCGGCTCACGACTCAACCTCACCGGGCTCGGCTACTTCTCCTGTCACTCGCACACCGTCATGCAGGGCTACGCTTACTTCTTCTTCCTCCGGTGAGTCCCGACCTTGGGAGTCCGGGGGGAGTGGGTCTGGGTGCTGTGGCACAGCTCCGGGCATCCTCCAGGGCTGGGAGGGTTGGCCCCGTCCCGCTGCTCTCCCTGCAGTATTGCATATTCTGCACGTCCACCCCAAAGAAACATCCCGAGCTGGGATATCCCGGTGTTGCTTTAGTGCTGAGCTGCTGTTGAGCAGCCCCTGGATGCTGCTGCTTTTGTTTCTTCATGGTCAGAGCTCCTCTCCAGTGCTGGAGATAGGTCAGTGCCTGTTCTCCAAAGTTTGGCATGAGAGTATAGGAGCAATCCCAAATGCACACCCGACAGCATTTTCTTGGCCCAAGCCAAATCGTGACTTTGGGCTCATTGAAAGAATAAGAAAATAAACCACCATGTGGGAACAAAGCCATCGCCCTGACCTTTCGATCCAGAAGCATTTGCAAAATGTTGCTTTGTGGCTTGTTTCAAAATGCTCACTATATCTTTACACTGGGTGCATAGCAAAACAAGTTCTGATGCTGTCCAGTGCTCAGTCTGGGACAATATCTTTAAGGACATGCCTTCCAAAAGTTATTTATTGATTCTGATGGAGCACTTAGACTCAGGGGTCAAGAGCAAAGCAATACAAATTCTGTAGAAACCAAAGGCCAAAAGAGAGATTTTATGTATTTGGGAACTCATTTATATCTGCAGGGCAGTGGGAGCCTGCCAGGTCCTCCCTGCAGTTACCAGGTCAAACTCACGGAGAATATAGTCAGCAAAGTGCTGAGAGCCACGCGTTGGCTCAAAGTCTGTCCGTGCGACTTTGGTGGCACTTGGCTGGGCTGGGGGACAATGGTGACTTCTGCAATAGAGCCTTAAAGCAGCTGTGCCATGGTTTGTGTTTCAGCATGGATGAGAATTACATCCTCCTGCCACATGGGGTGAACTTCCAGGAGGCAATTTTCCCGGACACCCAGGAGAACAGGCGGATGTTCGCCAGCCTTTTCCAGTTTTCCAACTGCTCACAGGCACAGCATGCCCTGAGCTTCTCCAGTGACTGGGAGATCCAAGAAGACAATCGAGTAAGGGATTTATTTGCTCTTTGGTGCTTGTTTTCTAGGCACAGACATTCAAGTGTCATTTGTGTTTATATATCTATACGTGTATATGTATGCAGATTGGCTGGTTCCTGATTTTCCTGGTCCATTGGCACCATCACTGGCAGATAACACCCCACCCTTCCTGGTGGGAAGATGTTAAGTTCTGCTTTTAGTGCTCACCTCTGTGCTGACTCTTTAAACTTCCTGTGGGGCTGAGCAAAGCCTGACATTAATCTGGTCATGAGCAATAGATGAGAAACCAGAATCAAGTAGGATCTTGTCGTCATTACAGGTTTTGCTATCTGCAGAACCCACACTTTGATTTCAGTGGAAATGTGAGTAGAGCTTTTTGGCTCCTGGTTTGGCTGTTGTCTGGACCACTGCAGACTGTGAGGGATTATTCTTGCCTAATTCACACAGCAGCATAAACATTGATTTTGGAGGTAATTGTGCTAAGCTGCCTTGGTAGCTGCTGGGGGAATAAAGACTTCTGAGGGCACATTTGTCTGAGTAATGCCAGCACCTGCTTTGGAGCAAACTGAATCAGGTGCCTTTCTCCTCCCAAGGGAGAGCACGAGAAATAAGTCACCCTCTAGGCAATTCTCCCTGAAGAAAGTATATTTTTAGCATGGAAAGTCCGCTGATGTCTGTTGCCAGTGGCTTCTGAGCTTTATGGGGCTGTAGTGTTTGTAATAAATGCAAGCTTTTCATAAACACTTCTTTGGCGGAGAGGAGCAACCTGCAGTTATGTTCTGGGTATATACACTTGTGGAAGTGGAACTTGGAAACCTCTTTCTTTTAGTGCCAAATTTTGTTTTACGAGTCTGGTGGTTTCCATGGGGAGCTGAGAACATTTGAAGCACCTCTTCAGGTCAGGATGGAGGGGGGCACGTGTCATCTCTTGTGTCCTGTGGATTTGTACAATGCACAATATTTGTGATGGCAGAAGCTCTGGCAGCAGCTAACCAAGACTTTTCCCATGGGCTAAGTTTGAACTGCTGTGTTGCCCACCTGGCCAGTGGCACCATGGGCATGACCCCAGTCCTCGGGATGCCCTGAGAGTGCCATTGTCCCATTTTGGGGAGAGAGGGGGGATTGTTGACATTCAAATATACATTTGGAGCCAAATGTAGTGAACCCTGGTGGATTGGTGCTTATTGATGCCAATGATGCATCTCACCTGTTAGCTGGAATGGAAACCACAGGGCAGAACCTAGAGCACATGGATCAAAAGTGCATCTCAGCTGCTGCGCTCCTTGACCCCACACAGCTGTGAGCAGATTAAAGGGAATTACAGCCAGAGCTGGGGGCTTTAAATGCTTCTGCACACACCCTGTGAGGGAATAAACTGAGCTCAACTGATGGCCACATTGTCTGCTTCCTTTTGCAGTGAAAAGTAAAAGCTTCCTCTGCACCAGTTAAAAATAGTTTGGATTGTGCTCCCATTCAGCCCATGCATCTGTGCTCTTGTGTTGGAGATAGGCTTCTTGGCCACCACTGCATTGGGAATTTGTTTCCCTTTCTTAGCACACCCCTTCTCTTCCTTCTCTTCATTACTCTTGGCATCTCTTCCCAACAACCATGGTTGGCATTTTGCTCCTTGCTTCACCTCCTCAGATCCAGTGGTGATGGGATCAAGTGCTGATGTCCTCAAATCAAAAAGTGAAGGTCTAGTTTGGGAACTGAGGTCCCACATTTGAGTCTTGGGATATCTTCACATGTGGCTCAGTCAAAAACAAGCAGCCTGTTATTAGCAGGTTTGGAACAAAGGCGTGATGAAATTGGCTTAAGGTTGGATCCCGTGCTCCAAAAGACTTTTTCCCTCTGCTCCTCACATCCCATCAGGGCTGTACCATGGGATAAAAAGCTGCTGGCTCCTTCTCCTCCTCTCTCCTGCCCTGCCCAGCTCTTGGGGAGCAAATAGACGCGTGGGAAATCCTCAACACACTGACAAAGTAAAGGGATACAGAGCACAGGAAAACCTTTCAGTTGTCGGAAAGCCCCTGGGCGCATGGTAAAAGGAGGCCAGACCCCAGACAATTTGCTGGGGATAACACATTCCTCATCCTGGCTGCTACTGCTGCTGGAAGCTGATTCCAGCTGCGTCTTTAAGCCCCTTCGGTCTGGGCTGAGGGCCAGGCACTGCACTGCTATCCATGGTTTTCCAACAACCCCACAGCCTGATAAATTCACTCAGGTCCCTTTTCTGGCCACTCTGGAAAGCAGCAGTAGCTCAGCTGTCCTTTCTTCAGGCAGTTCCATTTTGGCCTCCATGCTTGTAATCAGTTGGGCTCTATCCTGACCTTTCTTAGCTCTTCAGAAGTGCTCACAGACCTCCTGCTTTGCTTTGGTTTGCCACCACACCACAGCCGTGGAATGGGAGTGTAACGAATTGCTGCAACTCCTCTCCCTTCTGTTTAAAGCTTAAGAGCTGATTTTGGTGGAGATAATGACACAGGAACTCTACTTTTGCCCTTTGGAGTTATGGTTTTAGGTTGTTCTTCCCTCTCTCCCAGCCATTGAAGAAATGCAGTAGTTGCCTATAAAACAAATCTTGCAGTCGCAGCAGTTTCCTTTAATAAGGTGTTTTTATTAAAGAAAAGACCAATTAAGGAGTAATAAAAACCTGATTAAAATTCTTAAAAGCTCTGTGTTTGTACCAAGCCTCAAGTTGATGCCCTGAGGGAAGGCCTGCAGATGCATCACAGAATTTGCACTTTTTGTGTTGTGCCGTGCTGGCTGAAGCACAACTTTCAGCTCCCTTCTGGCTCTGGAAAGCACCCCAGGGGCCTCTTGGCCTCTATCCACTTCTTCCCCCTGTGGCTCTGACATTGCTCACTAAACCTTGTGTTATGCCCAGTTGTAGTCCGTAGGTTGGTGCAGCCACTGCCACTGGAGTTGCACTGCTGAAAGCTCCTGATGCATTTAGGAAGCATCCTTGGGACCTCTTTTTTTTTTTTTTTTCCTTCCTATTTTTTTTCATCCTTAAAGCAGTCCTAGGGATCATAGAATCATAGAATATCCCAAGTGTTCAAGGCCAGGTTGAACAAGGTGCTGGCCATCCTGGTTTAACGTCTCATCTAAAGACTCATCACTGGCAACCATGCCAGTGGCAGGGGTATTGGAACTGGATGATCTTCGAGGTCCCTTCCAATGCAAGCCATTCTATGATTCTATGATCCTAAGTTGGAAGGGACCCATACGGATCATCAAGTCCAATTCCTCCGAGTTTTCTTTGGGAGATAGATATAAGCACTCGGCATTGCATCATCACCTTCCTCGCTAGGTCTGGAGAGCATTCAAATGTGCCAATGCCTCTTTCCATAATAGATTTTGCTACATGCTGAGTGGTATTTTTCTGCATGCAGGGAGTTGATTTCTGTGGTTTCCCCTCTTGCAGTGCCCCATGCAGGTTTTCAGATTTCAGTGCAAAGCTGATAGCTCACATTTCTCCCCCTGAATGGCTTTCTGTAAGGCTGCGCGGTCTCTTAATTAAGACCTTGCTGCCTTGTCTGTATAGGAAGGATTACAGCATGGTAACTCAAGGTCTGTTTTATGGAGAGTCTATGGAGGTATGAGGGAAAGTCTATGGAAGTGCTGAGCGTGTTTGCAGTTAGTTACTACTCAGAGGAGTTTTAGCTCCTGGTTTTGTTAACAAGTTGAAGGGGGGGCTCATTTTTATTGGCCTCCATTTGAGCTTATTCAGTTTGCAGGAGGAGATTATACCTTTCATTGAGCCTCTCTCCATGCATTGCTTCTTCTCCTCACAAGCATCACATCTGCAGCCCGGCAGCTACTTCAGCTGATTTAGGTGGATAATCTCCTTCTCAATTTCTGAGAGACCCTCAGAGATTTCTATGGGTAATAATGAAGCTTTCCTGAAAGTTGTCAGCTTTCCTAATAAAAAGCAAAGTAACTAACAAGTTAGCAGGCAATCTACAAATGTCTGTTTAGCATCTTCCTCTGCAGTGGCACTTTGACTGCTGTAACAACCACCTCATGACCTGATTATAACACCTGCAAGACTTTGAAGCAGCTGAAAAAGGAACCAGATAAGAAAAGCAATTGTAATTGCATAATTGGCTTTCCCATTATTATACAAAGCAAAAATTGAATTAAATGGCATTCTTCCTCTGCGGAAACGGAGGAAATAGTTTCAGAGCTATTTGTATTTCAACAAAGGGCACATGAATACACTGGGAGCCAGTGGGTTGGGTCACTCCCTGAACCCATCCACGGGCAGCAATGTCTGTAGCCTCTTTCTTGTCCTGGTGACCTCAGCTGGGCGGATGGTCATGGCTCAGATTCAGGGACGCTTCGTAAGACCATGAAGGCTTAAATCATGGAGAAACAGCATCTTCCACAAAAGCTCCTTGGGCTACCAGAGAAGGACTTGCACAATGTTTGTTCTGGCAGTTTCCTCTCTGCTCTGGGTTCTAAGAGAGGAACTGGAGGGCTGCAAAGTGCTGGTCATGGGCAACCCATCCTTGCGCTCTGGTGCATACTGTGGAGCCCACTGCAGTCTGGCTGGGTTAAGACAGTTTTCTTTAATTCCCATGTACTGGCCATCTGTGTTTTCTTGCAGCATGAACCACATGAAGGATCCTCCCTTCCCTGATCCTAGGGAAATAGAAAATACTCTGTTTAAAACTCCAGTGTGGCAAGGGCAAGGCAAAATGACCTCAAAGTAGACAAAAACTGGGTACAATAAAGGTTTGGTATTCTTTTTTTTACATTAGGTTTCTTTCCCTGCAGCTTGTTGAAGCAGCAAAATGCCATTACAGAAAATGCCCATTGCTTCTGTCTCATTTTAATGATGTTCTACTGTGCTTTTGTTTTCCTTCCAGTAACCCACCCAAGGAGCATATCCCTGCCCTACAATCTGTGTTTGATTTGCATAGTTGTGAGCTGCATTAAATGAGAAGGACAACTGCTGAAAAGTGTCTGGGATGAAGGAAAACCACAAGATAGCTGATATATTT